TTTTTCCCACTGTGTGGCATCCCCCCTTCTTACAACACTCAACAGACATCTGGGGACAGAGGAGACCAGTTTCTCCAGTTTAGAAATAGGAATGCTCTCCCATTCATGTCTAATACAGGCCTCTAACTGTTCAATCGTCTTGGGCCTTCTTTGTCGCACCTTCCTCTTTATGATGCGCCAAATGTTCTCTATAGGTGAAAGATCTGGACTGCAGGCTGGCCATTTCAGTACCCGGATCCTTCTCCTACGTAGCCATGATGTTGTGAATGCTGCAGAATGTGGTCTGGCATTATCGTGTTGAAAAATGCAGGGTCTTCCCTGAAAGAGATGACGTCTAGATGGGAGCATATGTTGTTCTAGAACCTGAACATAGTTCTCTGCATTAATAGTGACTTTCCAGACATGCAAGCTGCCCATGCCACAAGCGCTCATGCAACCCCATACCATCAGCGATGCAGGCTTCTGAACGGAGCGTTGATAACAACTTTGGGCTATCCTTGTCCTCTCTGGTCCGGATGACATGGTGTCCCAGTGTTCCATAAAGAACTTCAAATCGTGACTCATCTGACCACAGAACAGTCTTCCATTTTGCCACACTCCATTTTAAATGACCCCAGGCCCAGTGCAAACGTCTGAGCTTGTGGAGCTTGCTTAGAAATGGCTTCCTCTTTGCACTGTAGAGTTTCAGCTGGCAACGGCGGATGGCATGGTGGATTGTCTTCACTGACGATGCTTTCTGGATGTATTCCTGAGCCCATTCTGTTTTTCCTTGACAGTGGCATTCCTGTTTGAGGTGCAGTGACGTTTAACGGCCCAGAGATCACGAGCATCCAGTAGAGTTTTACGGCCTTGACCCTTACACACAGCGATTGTTCCAGATTCTCTGAATCTTTTGATGATGTTATGCACGGTTGATGATGATAACTTAAAAGTCTTTGCTATTTTACGCTGGGTAACACCATTCTGGTATTGCTGCACTATCTTTCTGCGCAACAATGGTGGAATTGGTGATCCTCTTACCATCTTGGCTTCTGAGAAACACTGACACTCTGAGAAGCTCTTTTTATACCCAGTCATGTTGTCAATTGACCTAATTAGTGTTAATTGGTCTTCCAGCTGTTTGTTATATGCTCAATTTCCTTTTTCCAGCCTCTTATTGCTACTTGTCCCAACTTTTTTGGGATTTGTTGACACTGTGAAATTTTGAATCAACATATTTTTCCTTTAAAATGTTACATTTACTCAGATTAAACTTTTGATCTGTCATCTATGTTATATTACGAATAAAATATTGACATTTGCCATCTCCACATCATTGCATTCAGTTTTTATTCACAATTTGTTTAGTGTCCCAACTTTTTTGGAATTCGGTTTGTATATATTACAGAATGAGATAGTGTGGCTGCTGAAGGCATGGTCGGTTAGTTAAATAGAAGATGATCCTGAGAGGCCGTATCAAACAAGGAACCGGGGTCTGTTAAGTCTCTGCTTTGTCAGAGACGGCCTTGGAGTTGACCGTTAAATAGTGGGGTAGTTCAAGTGAACAGCGAGGTCCTGACAGAGATTTTACAGCTTGACAAAATCTATATGGGTCATTAAGGAGCCTCATTTATCTTTTCTAATAGCTGCTGTGCACTGGTCTAGAAAATGTAACCACTCAGCCTCAGAGCCAGATTTCCGTGCACATGCTGGTTTTTCTTGTGTGGGAGGTTTGCTAAACTAAAACTTGACCCTCTTTACTCGTCTCTGACAAACAGGTGCACGTTTATCAATAAAATGATTAAAGTCATTATAAAAGTTGGTCCAGGTAAGATTAACATCAGCAATGAATGAAACTCCAGTTAAATGAAAAAGCTGGTGAAGGAAGGTCTGTTTGAAATATACTTTAATTTCCTCAAGGCTTTAGGATTGTCTGAACTCTACTCCCCTCTAGTGGGAAAATTGAACAAAACAGCCAAACTCCATGCACACTTTTATAATGTGATTTAAATTATTAAGTTGACAAAACACTCAAATATATATATATATATATACATACAACAGTTCTGAATAGAGATAAAGTTTTATCATTTGGCCTAAACAAATATCAGAAAACTTTTAAAATAAATAATTTACTTCACTAATAATAAAACAAATACATAAAAGCATTAAAGAAGCTTCACACCTTGTCCTAACACTGTGCTTCTCAATCATTTTCTCTTATGCCCCCCCCAGGAACAAATAAACATTTCGTGCACCCCCAACTCTCCGCCGCGACTGTAAATAGTGTCTATAAAATTGTTATAAGTACACCTCTGCATTTTGTTAATGCTAAAGAAGAAAGAGGAGCAGGTGTCGCTCTTGCTTCAGTTTACTCTTTGTTTCATGCGTTCTGTGAGTGGCGTCCAGAGCAGAGAGCATGGACCATAACAGCAGCAGAGGAGAGACACGGGTCAGGCATGGCTCCCAAAACCACAAGGCAGACATATTTGTTCATAACTTTATTATTAGGCACGCACGCGACAGAATGAGAATGGTTATGAGCCTCTTCAAGGTCGTTTCATGTTGACGAGTCCCAAAGCCGCGATTCAAATCACTTCCAACTTATGGTTTCGCTCGTAAATCAGCTGATTTTGAGTCCTCAAAGCACGAACCCAACCTTCACATAGGCAGCAGCCTGACGAGGTCCAAATTAGCTGCGACCGTCTTCTTTGTATGTTGATCCACCAGGATCCAGTCTGTTCCAAAAACAGGAACCCTGTTATCATAAATCCAATTACATGCAATTCAGGCGTCCTCGTTCGATAACAGAGGTAGACCCATCACCCCCAGAGATATATCCAGCTGCATGCGTCTCGTCTGAGCAGATGAGGGTTCTCCAGGACTCTGCCGCTTTGTTGAAAAGATGTTGTAATTTACGTTGAAAGTCCAGTTGGTCAGATCCAAAACAGTAGTTTTCATTTTGTGTAAAAATAGGAGCTGCTCCGATACACAGACAGAGAGCAAAAAAGCAGGAGAGCAGGGAGAAACATGTGCGCCTCGTTAGAGAGCCAGTTAGAAAATAAACTTGTTTTTAGCTGAAATCTATACAGCACATTTATCTTAAATATTATTTAAAAAAGCAAAATGTTGTATTTCCTCTTTATTAATCGTTTACTTGTTTAATTGATACATTGCACAATTTAGAAGCTTATTTTCAATTTGAGTTCTAATTTTTTTCTATTGAATGTATTTCAGCGTGTTGGGTTTATGTTTTATTTACGGATGTTTTTCTGATTGTGTAAATGTTGATTCAGCATCCAACGTACTATTTCTGAGTCTGTGTGTTATCATCAATTTTTAAATAAATCAAAAGGTTCCGCTCATTCAGGAGATGGGTGCTCTTATTTATTTTGAACTTTTTTATGCTCTTCTTCAAAATATATGCATTTAAATGTTTAATGTTTAAACTATCTTAAATGGTATTTAAAATGACAGAAGTCCAGGATGTAAAAACACATTATTTTAAAACAGGCAAGAAATAAAATAACATTCACAAATTAGCTAAACATGAATTTTTTTAATCTGCTTGAGCTCCAGTTGTTTTCTTTTAGCTATACCTTTTTAGCTAATGTTTTGCTACTTTTAGTTTTTTATAGTCATTTGCTACTTTTGCTTGTAGTTAACTTTTTAAACATTTTAACTTGCACTTCACAGCTTTTAGCTAGCCTTAGGGCTTCTTGCTGCTTTAAGCTTGCATGTTGCTTCTTTAGCTTGTATTGTACTGCTTTTAGCTACCATTTTACGTTTTGTTTTAGCATATATGTAGTATTTATTTTTTCGATTTTATCTTTTAGCTTGCATTTTGCTTATTAACTTCTAAATAAGAATTAGTTTTTTTTTAGTTTTCAGCTTAACTCTGCTTTATTAGTAAGCATTTTGCTACTTTTAGCTTCTAGCCTTTAATTACTTTCAACCGTTTTTTTAGATAGTGTTTTGCTATTTATTTAGCATAATGCTGCTTTTAAATATTAACTACTGTTTTGTTTTTAAGCTTTTAGTTAGCTTCCTTATTATTATTAGTTATTTTGCTTTTTTAGCTAGTCATTTAGCTTAGTGTTTTGCTTCTTTTACCAAACATTTAGCTACTTTTATAGCATGTTTCAACTCTTTATTTTCAGTTTTTGTTTTGTTTCTTGTTGACAATGTTTTTTTTTTTTTAAGATTGTTTGGCTTTCTTTTTTTTCCAGTTTTGATAACTCAGCATTCATGCAGTAATTGAAATATCCTCAATTATAATTACTTTATACTTAATATTTAAATCCCTCCTACTGCATCTAATTCAAGTAGTTAGTTCAAGTTATGTTTATTTGTCATATGCAGGTTAACACAAGGTTAATAGTACAATGAAATGCTCAGGATGAGAAGAACTTATTTGACTCGCTAAAAACAAAGAACAAACAACAAGAAAAGACTAAAGCTTGAAATAAATTATATAAAGTACTAAAAAGTGATAAAGTAATTATAATATTTGCAATGCCCTAAACAGAGATAGTAAACAACAACATGGAAGAAAATAACTGTGCAAGTAGGATTAATTAGTATGAATAAGTATGTAAATATTAATTTATGCTAAACTACACAGGTTGTGTGGCAGGTTAATTAATAACCTTTATTAAGATTCCTGCATATAAACTATTTAACAATAATAGTAATTAAAAATAATGTTATTAATCTAAATGTGATTGTTGTTAAACTGTTCTGAAGCTGTTCAGTAAAACAGGTTTGAGATTAATTCTTCAGACATGCGCAGTAGAGATTAATCCTGGACTACACGCCCTCTTATTTTGTAGCCAATCAGCGCTGAGGACCGCTCCGCGGACCAATCAGAGAGCAGTGCGCGAGGATGAGAGTCCACGGAGCTTCACCTGCTCATACCCGGGTCAGTCGGGTCGGTTCATCCGGACCGAACGGATGGAGAGCGGCAGGAAGCCGGTCCTCTGACCCAAACCAGAAGCTAAGTCGGGCAGAGCGGTACTGTCATGGCCCGGAACGGATCCGGTTCGGGTTCCCTCCTCGTCACGCGCCGGAACGCCCGGCTGGACGCCTTCCTGAAGCGGAACACGGAGCGGGGGCTCTACGAGCGGATCCGAACCTGCGAACCGTGCGTGGTGGTGTCGGACTCAGTCAGCAGGGTGTACATGCACGCGGTGCTGAGCGACGAGCGCGTGTACTTGACCGAGTTCTCGCCGCGCACGCTCACAGAGGCCGTCAGTTTCGGGCGCGTGCGCGACATCGAGCTGGTGAGTTTTAAACTAAAGTTTAAAAAAAAAAAAGAAAAAGTTCGATTTTTAGTTAGAACTGGGTCAGAACCAAAACTGATCTGAGGTCAGATAACAGGTGGAAAAAACCCCAAACATCGTTTGAATATCAGTTATTATGTTTTATTTTCAGATTTTACTTTTTATGTTTTTTATGTTTGTGTCTTAAGTTTAATCAAAGATGAGGAATTAAAGAAAATTAACTTTTAAATAATTAACTCAAGATGTCAGAAACCATCCTCATGTAAAATGATGTGGAGGAATTTACAGAGGAACAAAGACTAGCAGGTGTTCAACCACTGGAAATAATGTTCATCCAACCATCCATCCAACCATCATTCATCATCCAACATCATACAACCATCATCCAACCATCCATC